AGAAAAATTTGAATAAGCTTCAATTCCTAGGGTGTCTACTGCATGCTCTTTTGTCAGAAAAAATACTATGTATTTTATATCAATGTAGACGAAAGTACAGCAAGACAGAGAAGAAAAGGCATAATGCTACAGTGTGTAAGGTAAGAAGTCAAGGAAAAAAACGTAACATAGAAACTATTAGAAAACAACACAGAAAAATACATTACTTTCTGAGGATTCATTTCAGAGAAGTTGGAGCCCAAGTTAAAGCTTGGCATCTAAAGGGAAAATCTGAAAGCATCAAATCAAGTAGAGGCCCTGATCCAGACAAGTTCCTTATTAAGTTATATAAAGCACTGAAAGATAAGTTTCTCCCCAAATTAACTGAACTTAGATGTTATTTCTTGGACTTCAAACCCTTAGCAGATACTCATGAGGAAGCTGATAATGTTGTTTTAAAGGCTAAGAAAGATGAAAGTGTTTTTTCATCACATATGGACATACCAGTGTTAAATGCAGAGCTTAGATGTGCAGCAATAATGACAGCTACATTAGAATCCGTGTTCCCTAAAATACTTCGCATAGCCTCAGTGGAAATTAGTCACAGAAGATGGCTGTTAAATAATTTCCATGTGTTATTGATCACGAGACATTCAGACTTAGTAAACTTCAGCATGCTATTTTCATTGAAAGAAGAAAAGGCTTATGGTCGTCTTAAATGGAAATTCAGGAAGGAAATATTAATAGAAGATGTGAAAAATAAATGGACTCAAGTTGTACACTATAACCTCCTACAACCCTCTCAGCTTTCCAGACAAACACGGAATAGTTACTCAGTATTACCAATCATGTTTGCATTATCCAGGAAACAATTTGTACAAGTGAGAATGAATAAAACAAAACCATGTTTAAATGCAAACAGGTCAATTTTTGAAACAATGTTATCTTTGAATGAAATCCTATTAGCGATTCAGGTTCCTTCTAATCCACTGCAAAAGAGAACATTCCAGTTTCTAAAATTATTTATTTCAATTCGCAAGCTCAGGGAATTTGTCTTTCAGGTCAAAAGGAGATTTGGCTGCAAATTCATTTTAAGCTGGCCAAATGCCACAGGAAGTGCAGGGTAGCCAACATTACATCCAATTTAATAAAATTGTGCAATGCTTGCTTACAAAATTAAGCAAGTAGTCCTGTGAGCAAGAAAGCTACAGAAACATTGGTTCCAATGGATCTGATCTTGGGGCTGGAGTCAGTGGAGTGTAAAGGGTGTTACGTGCATACACAGGGATGAGTCACGATCTCTTCTCTGCTTGACTCCAGTTTTCATGAAACATAAAATCTATCTTTGAAATTATCTCTACACCAGTTTAAAAGTTACAGGGGGAAGAGAAGGGGAAAAGACTGGTTTCCTAGGAGCCTACACTAATACAATTACACACCAATTGATTTGTTACAGCAAAAATTCTCTTATACTTGAGGATCATGTTTTCCTTCCTTTCCTTCCTCATAGTAAAGGGCTCTTTTTAATGTGTTAGTGAATCCTTCTGATCATTTGCAGAACAAAATGCCAACCACTAACAGGAAACCTCTTTATAGACCTAAGAGGCTGCTTATATGTTGTTCAGTCTCTCTCTCCCGTATTTTTTCAAATACCTGTTCAAGGAAAATGAAGATTTTTCTGTCTTCGGATTTATATTGTTAAATATTATGTGGAATAACCAACGGGCAATCCATTTGGTAGCACTAACCACTCTAATGGTACTTTCAATATTATGCCACCCCTTCACAATTTACTGCACCAAAAGAATTATTTTTCTCCTGGCCCTGCATTTTGAAAGAACAGTAGAGAGGCTCTGACAGTATGATTCAGTTATTTCAAAATGGAAAGCAGGGAAGAAATGGGGGAGAGCACTTATCACAACAGACATCCCATCTGCACCACCGCTTTCTGTTTTAAGTGTTGTGACTGTAGGAACTACCAACTGACCAGAATCCATGCGGAAAGGTAAAGCAGTGATCATGGCTAAAAAGCTTAAACTTCCTGACATGTGTTCAGCAAATTCTGTATCAGGAGATACGTACCTATAAGGGGCTGCCCAGGGAGGGAGAGCTTTTGTTCAAGGTGGTTATGGATGGAACATGGGACAACTACCTCTACTACATTAAAAGACAAGCCCATACCCATCAATGATGTTCTACTGGTATTTGGCATCCTTTCAGCTTTAAACTATACCAAGCTGTTTAAAGATAAAAACTGACAGAACTGTGGTTTATTTTGGGTAGGAGTTTTCACTTGTACTATGACCGTATTCAAACCCAGGTTATTACTGAATGTGTATCTGTGCGAGTTGGGGAGTGGAGGGGAACTAGAGCTAAACTGGTTATGATTCTTTGGCAATGTTATTTACATTACCAGGATGCAGATCTTCATTGTATCTCTCTCTCAGATGTAATGTCTTCTGTTGACATCTATGCATGTAAATTAAGAGATGGAACATTACTGTATTTCTGATTATACTGCATAACCAGAAGAATCTAGACAAATTGTTGTGTTTTTTTTTTTTATTAACATAAGTGAAAAAGGTTCTTCTTTAAAGAAGTACTGCAGTATTTTCTGCACTTTTGGGGAAAACAAGCAAACAAAAACATGTGTTCGCCTAAAGATGTTAAAAAATAATAATCATTATTGTATGTAATATTACTTGCTTGTGCTTATTCAAAGTCTGTTCTTCTTGTGTTTTTAGTACTTTTAACCTGTTCAACATAACCTATATTCTAGTGTCTGAGAGAAATGTCTTGACAGCAAAGTACCAAACAGAAATGAAGTACTGAAGTACTTACAGGCAGGTTGCAGCTCAGTTGCATATTTGGAAGCGATACGCCAAAAAGCCTTTCACCAGCAATTTTTCCTACAGCTAGCTAAGGGTGCATAAACAGAACCTGAAATAACATCAAGATAGCGCTGTTTTCATCCCCCAAATGAACACTAAATACATGTTTTCATCCCCCAAATGAACACTAAATACAATTTCTAACACTTAAATTCAGCTCTGTGTCAGTTTGTACCACATCTGAACTTTCTCAGTGAACATGACAGGAGACTGGTTTCAAGTTAAGCTCTCAGAAATAAGTAATGGTGTTTGCACTACTACTTTTGTACAGGCAAACAGTGGGCTGTAAAAATGTAGCTGACCATCTACTGGCATTTTTAACAGGGCTCTGTAATTCGAATCTATGTTGTATGTTCTATTCTTTTTTTCTCCATCACAACATTCACTGCTGTTTCAAACTATTCAGTCATTTTCACCGGTTCTGGAGTTCCTGTTTTCAGGGGATTAGTGTTTGCTCTCACTGTTGCCACACTGTCTACTCAACTAAAATGAGCTTAATTTTAAAAAAGCTGTTTCTAACTCATAGAGTTGTGAAAAATTATCTTGAGAAGGTGACATGACTACCACTGATTCAGCAATAAGAATCACTCTGAAACAGCTATTTTAAGAAGTCAGTGCTACCTGCTAATCTCAGTGAGGATCTAGCTGTGAAATGTTAATTATGGCAATTTATATATTTTTTAAAGTGTTTAAACAATTTAGAAGCATAAATCCCATTGATTTAGGAATAAATTTTTTGTTCCTAAATTATCAAAGCTATTTTCCAAATAGCTATTTCTTTGTTAATAAGTCTAAACACACATGTCCAGGTAATATCATTTCCAAATAATCTAAACTTTTTTTTTTGCTCTTTTCCTTTGAAAAGCTTCCATTTTTTCCCACTAATTGTGTGTTACCTGTTTCGAATACCCCACTTTTTATGAACTGCTGGTAGGTGTACAGTAACCAGTGCAAGGGTCCTACAATGTTTGAACTTGTATTTATTTCATCTGAAACTGTGGTACTGGACCCAGGCACACCACCACCAGAAATGAGCTGTTTACCTTGCTGCACACTTTTGAGCCTGTAGATCAGGAGACATGTTCCTAGGCAGAACACCCTTGAGGCTAACCTGGAGCCTCTTGCAAAACAGCAGCCTCTTCTGGAGTCTGTATCTGGCTGAGAAATGGACTTAGGAACAGGAAAAAATTCAAGTAAGAAATTTGAGAATTAGCATCTAACACTCATCTTGAACTGCTTTCATGTGCATGAATTACAATTGCTGTATTAAGGTGGGAATTATTACAAGGATTCACTACAGCCTCATACAGTAAAAAATGTTTTCTGCAGTTTTTAACTGAAACTGCTTTCTGAACATACACTTGTGACAATTTGCCTCCGCTTTAACTGATTTATTCTTGCTTTCTTACAATGGCAAATTATAGAAAAATCCTACAGAGTGGATTTTTGAATTAACAACTGAATTCTAATCCATTATTAATTGAATTACTAATTTGAAAATAAAAATTCCTGTAATAGTTTTACGTTTTGTAAATGCTATTTTGATTGTGCAAATAAGAGATTAGACATCATACATTTGCCTATTACTTTTTATACTTCTGACACCTACAGTTCACTTAACTAAAAGATGCATTAAAAAGAAACATGTAATGAAACATTGCTCATATTCAAAACATGGGGATAAAGAATGTCTTTTACCTTGTGTCAGCACAATCACCACTCTTCTCTGCACGTCTTGTGACTTAGATTTTCTTTTTTCCTTCAGCAAAACAAAATCCTTAGGATTTATATTCTCTTGCAGCAAACATTACCATCACCACATTAACTAACTGTACAGACAGTTATCATTAGAGAAGTCTTGTGTGTTCATGCACTCTGTGAGAAGCATTGCTATTCACTTTGCTTCAGTTGCTGAACAGTCCTTTGACTAACTTTGTCCACTTTATCACTTTTGAATGACAGAGGTACAAGTTACTGCACTGCAAAGCTTTCTGTCAGCAAAGAACACACACTGCCTTTTCGTGCAATGCACTAGACAGGTGGTACATGCTACCTTAAACAAATATACTCGGGGTTAACTCAGGAGTTGTTATGGTTTTAGACTAAATGATAATGTGGAGGCAAACCAAATCCGGATACCAAAACGCTTTAATCACACATGTTGCAGTGTAATGAATTACACGGCAGAGAGACGATGTAGTCCAGGAGAGACAGCACAGCAATTCCAGCCAGGCAGGGTATGTGTCTGGGATTCCCTGGCCTATTCCCCATTCCCCGGTGTTGGAGGTGATCCAGCAGTCTGTTGCAAGCTCTTGGGATTCCATTGCCAGAGGTTTTTTTGCACTGTGCTTACCTCCAAGATGTGTAAGCACCCTTAGCTACAGGACTGGGCAGAGAATACCTCGCTGATGATTAGCTCCTTCAAACTGCATTCTCAGTTTCTGTTTTGCTGTGCCATTGCTGAAGCTCACAATCTGCTTCTTCAGACACTTCTAGACATGTTTGCACTGCTGTTCCAGACACGTGGTTGATTGTAATTCATTTACTTCTACTACAGCAAGAAGTTGGGTAAAGTTCACAGGCTTATGCTAACAGCCATGCTGCTAACTAGGCCTAATTCATACTGTTACAGGAGACCTGTCTATTACAGAAATGAAACACACATTTTCTTTGCCTACTGTTAAATGTGTAACATTACAAAATCAGAAAGGACCAAACATGACATTCCAGTTATGCTGAAAACATGTATCCCCCTGCCCACCCTCATGCTTCTCTTAAAATTCTGAATTCCCAGCTACTTTCTCTTCCAAATGCAGTAGCTAATCTCCTATCCCTAGAATGCCAGTGGGAGTTTAACATCCCATCCACTTTCTTTGAATTAAAAATAAAAAAATTAGAAAAGATCACCAAATCACCAACAGAGCCATGGGAAAGTACTGTCAGTGCTCAGCACCCAGTGAGACCAATAGTTCAACTCTCAGAACAGATACGCCTCTTCCTTAGCCTGTTAGGCTACTGTCAGTGAAAAGTTTCATCTAGACATTGACAAGAACATGGCGTAGTCTTGGGTGTTACATTTACAGCAAAATATAGTTATAGGACATTTAGTATGATATAGTACAACATACAGCAAACTATATTCTTTTTTTACTACGCTGGACAGGCCAGTAACTTGATAGGGCAACTGGAAATGTGCTGATATGTTGCAAAATAAATCCTATTTTCTTGTCACTCTATTACTAAATGAAAGAAAAACGCAGGAAGGAATTAAAGGAACTTAAAGATACCAGATGAAGTCTTCATATTTTGTGCTTTGGACTTAAAAGTTTGTAATAGCAAGCATCACGCTATAAGAGAATCCAAAAGGAAGGGTAACTAGTGCATTTTGACTGAGAAAACTGATACACACCAAGACTAAAATTGCTGGTACGTACAAACTATCAGATAATATTCTAAACCAAATATTTAAGACAACTTAAATTGAGTTCAAGATAGTGAAATGAGTTGAGCTTTTAACTTGACAGCATATCTCACTAAATCAGAGCTTTTCCTCTAAGAATGGCAGGCCAGATGCTTCTACATAATTTCATTTTTATTTAATGAGCTTTTTTTTTTTTTTTCTTTCTAAAGATATTCTTTCATTTTACCTAGTAAACCCATTCAGTGTTGTAACTAGGACTCAAATCTGGGCAGGTTGTGCATTTCTCAAAATAAAATCCAGGAAATGGTGGATTTTATGCATCAGTACTTCAGTATGCATCAGTAGTTTTTCCAGACTGTTTTGGATACATAAATAGAACACATCAAAGTACAGTTTATTTCTACATGTTGATTACTTGGACTCCAACTGCAATTTGTGCAAACCATTCTCATTTTAGAAAAAAAGGAGTCTTTCTTCAATTGCAGAATTCCATTAAATACCATTTGCCTGCAATTTTGATGCGTACATGGGATTACACACAATGCAAAGCTTTCCCACAGCTATTATAAGAAACTCTATTCCACCTACAGGATTGGATAATACAAGAATGATGTTTATGCTTTGGAAAGTGCTTTGACTGCAGATGCCCACTCTGCCAGACTTTTCTGTTTTCTGTAATGAAAGAAACAGGTCACTGATGCATTAAAAACATATTTACACTTGGTTTGGTTTTGTTGAACCAAGATGAATAAGAGTCATTACGGTAGTATAACCGTGAAGCAGGTCATCCTTTACGTCATTACATTCTCTTAACACGAAATTCCCAGTAACTATTCGATCACATCCTATTTCACCATGTCCAAAAAAGCCAAAGAGGGGAACATTTGGAAAAAACTTCCTAAATGCATCTGCTTCCATATTCCTTTTGGTTTTATAATGCCGATATCCTCTGCCAACACATGCAAACATGAAGCCAACGGTGTTACGCTCAGGGATGTTTGCTGCTTTGAGACGCTGCATGGCGGCTTCTGCTGTCCTCTCATCAGCTACATCCTGGTCTAACAAAACCGTCGCACTCTGGATCTGGGGACCACTGAAAGCCAGTCCAACCACACCACAGGCATCGCTGGGCTGGGCGTTACTACTGAAAGGAAATAGGCCTTAGTTAGAGAACATTTCAGGAAGTCAACTTCACACCTGAATAATCTGCTGCCACAGAAGTAAGACGCAAAACAGACCAACATCCTGGTGATTTTGGAAGCTGCCTTAGTTACAAAACAAAACAAACAAAAAAAAACAGAAAAAAAAAACTTCCAACATTTTTATCCTCTTTTAACAGCAACCTTTCACAAGGAAAGCCTTTCACATCAATACCTGGAATTAATCATAAGCTTGCTTCTCAGCTCTCTAAGTCCAACTGAGCTATAAGTTCAACTTGAGCAAAGACCTGGTGCTTCAGGTCTCCCTGGCTGGCCAAAATGCACCGGTTTTAATGGTTACCTATTGCTTATGAGCAATAATTTAACATGGTCAGCTCTCTTATCTGGAATAATGGTGCAGCTGGTATAACTCAGACCCAAGAAACATGTCTGTAACATGTCTGTAACACTACAGAGTCCAGACCTACACTGGCAGAAGCCCACAGGAGTGTCTGCACCACACTCCCCAGCACAGGCTGCTCTAGGGAGGATGCACTGGCACCAGCAAGTCAGAAGGCACAAGCAGCTCTCCCTATACAGCTGAGCAGCTGGAGCGAAGGAGCCCACATCTGCCCTGCAGGGATTGTGATAGAGGGACAAGGTTTAACTTGGATCATATCAAGCCGGTTCCTGTGAGTGCCACGTCCTTGCAGAGCTGCAGCACATTAAGTGTGCTCCTGGGAACAGTCCTGGCTGCACGTTCAGCTACTGCTCTGTGATGTGAAGTGAGATGAGGCTGACAGAGAACCAGAACAGTGGTCTCTGTCACAATGAGTGACAATTTATCTGCAAGCCAGAGAGTAAGCACAGACTGCAATAAACTCATACAGTGCTTCTGAAGCTGGAACTGTTCACAGTTCTTTCCTAGCTGGGTTTCCAGAACCCTAATTGTAACAGTCAAACAAAGCTTCCAGCTCTTCTTGCTGAATCATGGTGTAGCAGTTGGCCTTTGTTCTCTTAAAAAAAATAATTTACCATTCTGCTACCACTAGGACATTTCCAATAGGACACAGCTAACATGCTACAACTTCTGCGGAGTTTTTCCTATTTTAAATCTAATTCACAATTTACCTTGAGAAAGATACCTACTTCTCAGATGTCAGCGATGTAAAGCTTTCCACCTGTCCCCCAGCTAGGATGATACTTTTTTCATTCAAAGGATTGACTATTTGATGAAGAAATCGAGTAGCTCCAGACTTCCAGGAGTTGTAGCCAAACAGAAGAACCACACGGAGATCTGGATTATTCTTCAGACCTGCAAATAAAAACACAAGCATAATTCCCCTTATTTTTGACTTCCCCTGAAGTTCAGGTATCCCATATACACTCTTCTCTCTCTCCTTAAATAACACCTAATGCTTTTACTAACAGCTTTCCATTGCTGCAACTGAAAAACAAAACACAGGTTGGTCACGTATTCAGGAGCTGGGCTGCATTCTCTACCTACGTAAGAATTTCTGAAAAATCTTGCTGATGAAAAGAAGATTGTATCTGCTCCTCCAGCTTCTTTCACAGAGCATTTGTTTTACCACAGCACAGTTTCTATGTTTTACTTGACATCTTTAATTGTCCTTTTACAGATAGGAATCGAGCATACAAGTTATTCAAGACGAACCACAGTGCAGTAAGTAACTTTACTTGAAAAAATTAATAAATTGCACTCATCAGCCAATTGTTTAACCCAAGACAGAAAATCCCAAGTCTGCAGAACAAGAACACTCACAAAATCCTCATATTACTCTTCATAAATGATCTGTTGTGTCCTGCTAAGAACACAACATAAAGAATGCAAACTGTATTTATTGTAATCTGTTGTCTTTTCTTCTGCCTCTCCTTGCTACAATAAATGACTTAGGATCTAATAGGAAAGTTATCTTGGAGAAGAAAAGCAGCAGCTCCCCCCCACCCACCTCTAAACTGTGGTGGTAAGAACGATTCCCAATGACACAAACTCACTTATTGTTACTTTTAATGAGTTAAGAGAGTTGCTCGAAACAAAACAGCTCCCTCTTAGCAGCCCTAAAGAAATCTGAAAGCAGTACTCAGGATAATTTACCCTCAGTACTCCAGACAAAAAAGGGAACATAGATCGACCAACAGCAGCCCTACAGAGCCCCACAGTGCTCTGTGAACACAATTAGCACAGAAGCTGTTGGTTCTATGTGTAATTCCATGCTGGAGCCTAGAAGAGCCAGACAACACTTCACAAAAGCCCAGATCGAAGGGTGAACAGGGACTTACCTGCTTCAGCAAATTTACTTTCATCAAAGACCCTGTTCTTCAAGTCTTTAGGAAAATGGAAGGTTTGGATTTTTACACCATCAATTTTGGGAAACAGTAGAGCAAACCCAGCTTCACCATCTTCAATTTCTTGAGGTTGATTGCTGCTTGAACCCATAGGGGTAACTACAATGACACAAAAAGACACCTCACGTTCAGTGATTCTTATGTTTTTGTCTACACCATGATGTAGATTAAAAGAGGCAGAGCAGTATACATGACGTAAAACATGACAGCTCATTTCCATACACATGTAAAGATAGTTGGTGTTAATTTTGTTGTTGTTTTGGAAAGACGAAACATGTTAAGAGTCCCCTTTGCTACAGATGATGCTGAAGTCACTTTGCAGGAGGAGACAATTTGGAAAATTTCCCACAGCCACACCAAATTCAAATCAAATGGAAAACAAGTACCATGCAATACAACAGTCTCCCAGCCTTCCAGCCAACTTCTGTGGCTACACAAGGATACTCTGATTTTTAAGAACTACCTACGAAACAGGGAACAGTGTTGTACAAGCGCGTGATACAGTATAAAGCAAACTGACACAAATATCAGAACCCTATTATTGGATTATGCTGCTGACAAGAGTCAATCACCACAGTCAAGGTAGAGCAATACTACAACACCGTGGACCAACTTCGGGACTAGGGGAGGATAAATGGAAGAGATGGCACTGCTCCAGAGATCTGGTTCAAGTGACTGAGAACCTGGATTTGAGCTATGCAATTGGTGTCCTCACTTAGAAATACTAAAAAGATTTTGCCATTTGATCTCAGGGGAACTGAGCATCAACACAAGGAAAAATTAAAATAAAAAAGTGCATCAAGTTAACTAATTCCATCAGGACAAGGACGAGCTGATGCACTGTCTGTATCCACACTGCAGAGATAAGCCACCTGGTCTTATCTTCTTCCTTTCAGGAAGAAACTATGTGATTTGTCTAAGTAATTACAGGCTGAGATTGTTATACTTTATAAATACAGCAAGAGAAAACAGGAAGAAAAGAACCAAGAAAGCAAAAGGATCCTGCTGACAAAAGAAGAGAACAATAATCTACTTACTCTAACCGGAAGTATTCAAACAATCTTTAGTAGGACCAGAATCACAAGTACTTACGGCTAGAGATGACCTCAAAAAGTTGCCCAAGCAACTCCTTACTCCTTCACATTAGAGGCCTGTGCTGCCCTTCCTGACACATGTTAAGCAGGACTGTTCAAGACTAGTGACAGAGAAGGAAAGCAAACATACTAAGCAGACTCCTGCTACACTTTGATATACGACAGCTTGCTACCAACATACAGGGCATAATCTATCCTCTATGCTCATAGGGATGAGCAGAAAAATACACCCTAGTACACCATAGAAAGAGAATTTAAGGTGAGAAATGAGAAAAAAAAATGCTAACAATAAAAACCCAAAGCATTAAAGAAGACTCCTACCTACAATCCCTGGGGTGACCAGTCCAAGAACTTGACATCGTTTTGGCAACAATTTTTCAAGTGCAATTGCTGTTTCTTTACTGTTTCTTTTTCTAGCTGTTAAAAGAGAAAAAAGAATAAGCACAGAGAAGTAGAAGGGAGCTGTTCTGAACAGGACTAGAACAAGCATTGCAATAACCCCACCCTATTTTATCAACACTACAAACACAAAAAACCTGTACTATATGTAAGCGTGCAGCACTAACAGCATGTGGAATTGGAATCAATCTTGTCAGTGGGGTGAGAAAATAAATTGCTGTACTTTCCTCCATGTAACACGCGTCTGTGTAAAATAACAAACAACTGAGGGCTGCGTTTTGCACCGCAAATGGGGTAAGTGGTCATATTTTTTCAAAAGATTACTCTGCTTTGAAATTCAAAGTAAGAGAATCCCTTGGTAGGTGATGTTTCCTTTCTGCGTTGGACCTGGCTGCCAGCTCCCTCGCAGCAGGAATCACGCAGTTACCTTTCTTCTGCTCGTGGCATTCCTCGTGGCCGCTGAACGTCTCCGCATCCGCTATGTAGAGCACGGTCTGGGGCAGCACGTGCACCTTCTGCAGGAGGAGGGAAGGGGCAGGCTGCGCTGTGTCCCGGCTCCCCGCACCTCCTCTTTCCCTGAGCCACCGGCCGGGCTCGGGAGAGGTCGGGGCGGGGGGGGGGGGGTGCTGGCAGGGGCTGTCCCCACCTTCCCCGGAGCCCTGCCAGGACGGGGCGGCAGCCGCGCGGGCTGACTGCGGCTGGGGGGCTGCCTGAGCGCCGGGCCGACGGCTGGGGCGCTGACAGACAGACAGACGGACGGGCTGACTGACTGACGGACTGGCCGTTGAGGCACCACCTCCCCCTCAGCAGCGGCTCCTCCCCTCCCCTCCCCTCCCCTCCCCTCCCGCCCCCGCCGCGCGCGCACCCACCTCGAGCTCCCGTGCGAGCGCGCGCACCAGCGCGTGGCTGTCGGCGGGCCCCGGCTCCAGCGCCGACACCCAGGCCAGGCGCTGCCGCGTGCGCAGGGTCCGTCGGGCGCACTCCCTCCAGAGGCGGCACACGCTGCAAGGCACAGGCACACCGCGCGTACACGGGGCGGCCGCGGCTGCCGCTGCCACCGCCCCTCCCCGGCCCCCTCAGAAACGGCGCCCCCCGCCCGGCCCCGCCCCGCTCCCCCCGCTCCTCACCACGCGGCGCGCAGCAGCGCCTTGGTGGGCAGGAAGCCGAGGACGCGCTCCACCACCTCGGCCAGGTTGCTGAGCACGAAGGCGGCCCGGCCGCTCGCCTCCATGGCAGCGGCGGCGGCGGCGCCGGGACGCTGCGTCACGCGCGCGCGCTTCCGTTTCCGGCGGCGCGAGGCGCGGCCCCGCCCCCCTCCCGGGCCCCCCGGCGCTGAGGCGGCTGCGGGCGGCGCGGGCCCCGCTGAGGCGGCCGCTGCCCTTCCCGCACCTTGTTGCGAGCTCTGGATAAAAAACTCCACCCACGGAGCGCCGCGCGCTGGTTCCAATGGCTTTATAAGTTCTTTAGGTTACAAACGATTGCAACAACCCGATAATAGAGGGGAGCACTGCGGGTAACTCCAGGCTCCGCAGCGAGGAACGGCCCCGCAGGGGCGGCTGCCCCAGGAAGGTCTCCGTGGCACGGCCTTGATCTCCTCGTGAAAAGAACTCTAAACGAAGAGCATCTTTTCCAAGAAACAGTTCATATTCTCATACGGCCATGAAAAATGTTTAATGACTTAACATACATGTGCTTTTCCTATATCATTAATTTGGAAATACTACAAACGCCGTCATTTCAGACCAGAAAAACTACTGTGATTTGCAAGATCTGACATTGCCTAGAACAGTATTAAACAACGTATCCAATGTCCTGGCTTTAAATGAAACAATACAACGCAAGTCTGCAGTCTGCATTCTGCCAAAGTTAAGAAATACACAAAAAAAAAAGTGTGTGAACAACTCCTATTGAATGATCTTTAGTAACTTGATAGCCTGCCGTAGGGAGCTTACACTTTCAAATAAAATTAAAAAAAGGGGGAGAAAGAAGGGAGTGGCCCAAATATGCGCAATCCATAAAGAACAAATACAGTAAAGGCCCAAATTGCTCAGTCCGAGATACCTAAGAAGAGCGGAATGGTAAGGCTGTAACTTATACTTTACGTGTCAGTTGACATTATCCACTAACTTATCTAATAGCTAAAGTCTTCAGTACGGCTGTTATAGGGGGCACTCGTAGCTTGAGTCTGTGTGTTGGAAAACATAAAAAAGAGCTTGTTTTGTTGACATTGGTCCAGGTATACAACAGTCCTCAGTATTAACCATCTTCTTTTGGAGGAGTGTACCAGCCTACGGAGAACAGAGACACGTGTTAGGTACTGACACTGGGAGGTTAGGATGATCTTACCAGCCCGTTCTGGATTGGTGGGAGACGGAAGCCTTGACTGGCTCCCTTCCTTCCCTCCCAAAGGAGGCCAGCTCCGTGACACCCAGCACCCTAGGCCTTAGTCATCTCCAGCAGGACATAGAGCATGTGGCATATTCCAAGATCAGACACGGCATTTGTGCGTGAAAACTCAGTATTTTCATGGGTCCTCTCTTTGGTGGTGGTGTATTTGTTTTTTGTTTTGTAATAGCAGCTATCTTTAGTTGGACAAGTTGGGCATGAACAGAAGAAGCTGTTGAAGGAGAAACATTGCCATAACAAAAACAGGTGGAATACTGGTAAAAACAAACAAGCAAAACAAAACATGTCTTCCAGCCATTTAATGTCTAGGCATACACACGACTACACTGGGTTATTTATATACACATCTTATCTTGCACATGGAAGAGTTAGGTGTGCACAAGCCTTTGCACAGTTTATCCCACTTTTGCAAGTCTTGCTGCAGTAATGGGCTTAGGAATGTCAGCTGAGTTAACTCTGCCTCCTGCTAGGATTTGGCATGTTTAGCAGTTGAATCATACCACAAGTGTGCATAGCTCTTCCTGGCCACCTTCAGATCTCCAATCTTAATTCTCCCAGCCACTACGGTAACAATTCCTCATAGTGTTTGTATGGTGGGTACCAGGCCTATTTATGTTGTCCCAGAGAACTGGTAGCAGCTAGAAGTTAACACAGACAGCTTTGCAGCAGCAGTAAATCTGCTGTGAATGCTTTGTGAACAACAACTGTTGCAGCAAGCACTGTAGTCAACCCTAGCACGTGGCTAAAAATTAACAGCCATGCTGGCTTTTGTGGCAAACTAAAAAAGCAAAAGACTCTGTTAATGGCAAGATCAATAAATCACAAAAATGGAAAGCAGTTAAAATAATCGTCTCCTTTTCTACAGTACCGGAGGCATTACGTTCATTTCAGAGGTGGAAAACTAAGGTGCTCACTACACTCATACTGAAACATGCTCTTGTGTTCATGGCAACATGAATTCACAAAGAACACTGTGTCCACCTTGAGTCAAAGACGGTGACTGAGATGGGAACTGGGACTAAATCTCTCATCACAAGACCAGGTACCAACTCTGTTGACTGCTTTTATACAATGTAAGTCACTTACACCTTTCTAAAGCCTCAGGTCATTTGTTGCCTTCTCATCCTGCCACAGTGATTGCAATTATACCTTGAGTCCTTTAAATACTTGTTTTAAGCATCTGAGAGACCAATAACTGGCTTTAAATGGGAGGAGGGGAGCCCCTCTCTCATTTCAGTTGCAGTTTCCCAGACAGTGCACTTCCCTTGGACTTTCTGTATTTTTTAAGAGACAGACAGACTTGACAGTTAGTCAAGTTACCTGAACAAGAAAGACAACAACACTTGAAGATTAGTAACAGAAACACTACTTCCAGTCTTTCCAAGCCAACATTAAGACATTCCAGCACTCCAAGTTTTATCACTGCCAAATATCAAACCCCAGGATACCGTGCAGATGAGAACGAAAATACAAGATATACTTACCATTTTTCTCATGTATTTGTACTAGTGACTTATAGGACTGCTGTGCTCTTGCTAGATTATATTGATTCTGAAAGGAAAAAAAAAATAAAACAGCATGAGAGAACCTGCATCTAAACATGCAAGACCTCAAAGAGTGTAGAAAGAAACTCTATGGTGGACTTCCAAATCAAAACGATGTATGATGTTCCTGGCTTTCAAGTACAAGATTTTCAGAACAAATACCCTTAATTCCTCATTTTGCCTTGATCATGACGACATGGACTGGCATAGCCCTGCTGCTGGACAGGCCCCTCTATCAGAGGGCTCAGAACCACGTGCTAGCTGCCCCAAGCAGCAGCACTTCAGGCACACCCTTCCTTCCCCCCAGATTCTGCCTTATTCATCTAACAAGTTACAAGGCTAGACAGAACTGTGATCATAAAAAGCTTCTGTGAATTCCTTCTGAATCTTCCTCATTTCTAATTCTGAGTCCTCCTTCTCCCCCATCACGTCTCCCTACTTACACACCCTGCCCATCCAACAGTTTTGTCCTCTTCAAACCTTCATCTTGCCTTAAACTCAGCATTAACAACCAATAAAATACTCACACATGCACCGTATGTTGAGGTAAATGAAAATGCAAGTATAATCATTAATTCTGTCACTAAGCATCTTCTGTGCAAGTCAGTCAAGGAACAGAAGCAGCCTACCAATAATTTGTGTAACTGATGGACATGGTACATTTACCTTATTGGCTCCAAACTGTACTCTGGCTTTTCCTTTGACTAAAGTGGCATTGATCTGCATGATGACTGATTCTATTGAATAGGCACTGCTCCAGCCCTGGAGGAGAAAGAAAACATTTCTATGTAATACATACTTCTTGGGCTCGTCTCCCAAACCTGTTTTGGAATGTGTGTTTTGTTGTGGTATCTTTTTATTTTTTTTTCTTCTTGTGTGTGCAGTGGTGTGTTTTTTTTTTTTTTTAACTGCACTCCAGTAAGACGCCTTTTAGTTTTTAACTACTCATTTTCTATTACCAACTGTGATTGCCCAGATAGAAATGGCAAGTGATATATAGTGTTAGTACCAAGAACTTGTAGGAAAAATTAATAGGCTGAATCACACATTTCCAGAGTGCAGCAAGACAGAAACAAGAACAGGTATGTATGTTACAGCACTTACACATTGTCAGCAACTTCACAACAGAACTTAGACTTTTTGTTGTAAGCACAGAAGACCACTATCTAACAATGCCAGTAAGTGAGCTAAGGTGATTTTACTCTCAAAATTGCAGTTTCTCTCTGGCATTATTTTACCTTTCAGGGTCCACAGAAGCTTCTGCCAGAGCCTGCAACTAGTTACTCTCTCATTTACACTTTAGAGAGAAAAGTGATCACTGTGTCTACACAAGAATCTTCTACATTCCTCACTTCTCCAAAACTGACTTTGTGCAGTAGCAGAGGCTTCTGGAAAAGGAAAGAACACATCTTGCTTCTCAGAACTCACTCTTTACACTTGCTTCCTCCAAGAAATTCTGAGAGCTCAAAACTGATGTGCTCTCACTTCTGGCTCCTTTCTCCGACCTCCTGTAACCTACTCAAGGTGGAAATGAAGATCTTGCACAAAAGGAGCAAGACTAGTATTGTGAGACTGAAGGTTCTTCCACCATGTTCCCTTTGGAGCACAGATATTTATTTGTTTTTACACACAGGGACTCAAACTCAGGGGAAATGCCTATTTTTATTTCAAGAATGTTTACTTCATCTGGACAAAAGCTACTACCACCAAGTGCCTTTTTACTGAAAAAAAATGCACCTTTACTCATGGTACTTCAGCAACGAGAGGAAGAGTTTGCATTCACCTGTTTAGTAAGAAGTTCCATGCATAACGCACCTCCACCTAGGACATACCTAGAAATAAATGTGAAAACAAAATTATATTTTACATCAACAGTTAGTAAAATATGCAACAGTTCAAAGTACTTCAAGCTCTTTCAGGCTAGTTAATGTTTTTGTTCACACAAGCTGGAACGCCTTTTGGCCAGTAATACATTGTAACTAGCTAGCCATATCATACTGCTGTAGAGGAGATTAATTGGCACCGTAAGACAAAAGAAACTGCTTTCCTTTGCTACATACGCTTAGTTGAAATCAGTGATGCAGCAGGTATGTAAAAATGCTTACACAACTGTCCCCAGACCATGGAAAGGAATGCTGCTTTTTGCTGCTACACCATGGCTATGCTGACGCGGTTACTGGCCATCACAAAACCTGGACTGAGAACAGAGAATTTGCCACTCCAAAAGTGTAGCCTCCCCTGTGATCAGTGCATTTAAACAATGACGATCTATACATCTTTCATAGGGAAATGAAAAGACAGGCAGCATTTTAAACTAGACTCAGCACCAGCTGTCAGAC